TAATAAATATTCATGTAGCATTCCCACTCCTTCCACACAAAGATCTTCATTCATAGCATACCTAAAAACCACAGTGTGACACATTTCTAAAGTTACCAAGCCTTCCTAACGTTCTGCTCCTAGGATATGCCATTCTCTTTCATCTATAATGAAATAGTAGGTAGATCTAGTGTTACTTATTTGTAGGCATCACATAGCTTAGTCTCCTGAAAGAGGTAATAATAACTCAAGGTATTCCCATGCATTATAGTTAAATATTTGATACATTAACAATCACAGAGAATCAGCCTTGCAGGTATCTGAACTAGAGAGCTTGGGGTCCTTGTCATGTCTCATCATAGCTGGCTGGCTTATGGTTTGAGAATTGGAAAGAGTCCCTTGGGGTTAATTTATTCTTCTAACTGCCCTTTTCTTTCCCCTTTCCACTTCATTCTCAAGAATTTTAATTTTATTTTGAATGCGCACGTTGCCTTTCATCAGATTTAGAATGCACAGGTCCTATTATTACTGACCATATCATTACCTGTGCTTCCTACCATCCATAGGATTACCCACCACAGGAATTACTCAGTATACAGTATATGGTATATAACATACATATATAACTTAGTATATAGATAATCTGCATCAAAACAAAAGCCTTTATTACACATAACGTTTTCATTCCAAAAGATTTATTTGAAAGCAGATAAATCACAAGGTGTTTAGTAAAGATCAACACGATTGTTGTATAGCTAATTCCTATTAGATCCATTTCATTTTCCTCTGTGTCAGAATGATGATGTGTCTGGGGGACAGGAGATAACAGATCACATATTTTAACTTTTATGAGGCTTCTGATTCAATTCTGCAGAACGTGCTTTCTAATAAACTAGGAAAACATGATTTCTAGACCACAATGGTGGGTGCAACACAAATGTTTCAAGAACTGTTATTCAGGATCCAATTACTTGATCTAAGTTTCATAAGGGTTTACCCAGCCTTTGGGTAACACTTTCATTGCTGACTTAAATCCACAGAGAAATTAATGTGACTAAGCACATGAAAAATACACGTGTGGTTAGGCACTCTCTCTTATGGAGATATGAATGTGTCCAAATGACCTTGTGGATTCAATCTATCAATCAACCAAGATGTTTTTACTGAACTGAATACCTACTACTTTTTCAACAGTAAAGTACAGAAAAGAGGTATAAAATACAAGACTGCCTGCTCTCAAGTTACTTATAACTTGGTACAGGAGACAAAACTAAAACACAATTAATTAGAAAACAATCAAAGAACAAATAGGGGCAGAGGATACACAAAATAAATGTAATAAACAAGTTATGTGTGTGTTTAAGATCAAGCATCCATATAATTACAAATATCTATTAAAGAAACAGCATTTGGGATTGACATTTTTCAGTCCCGTTGGTAGTTGCAAATTACTGACACTACCCTGAGGATTATGGGAGACAACAGGAGGCAGTTTAATTAGGAAGGCAGTAAAAACTAACCACTCAAATAAAAGAGAGGAGAAAACCAAATTTATATAAAAGAGAAACTCTGAGGGCCTAGGAAAAGTATGAGTCAGCAATGTTGTGAGTTCTTTTTAAAGATCCACAGCATCAGGATATAAAAACATGCGGCGTGCTCAGGAGGATCACGTGACAGCACTTGCACAGCACGATGTTCTATTCAGAACTTTATTACCACGCTAAGAGCTATTCTGGACCTGAACCCAAGCAAGACGAGTAGAAGTTGGAGAGCATCCAAAAGGAGAGCAACTAAAATGATTAAAACGTTAGGAAATGGGTCCGAAGAGGATGTGTAAAGGAAACACAGTTATTTAGGGCAGATAAAAGATGCCTAGGGAGGAGGTCTGCCTGCACACGTCCTGCAAGGTTATGAAGGAGAGTGTACAAGGAGCACTTCTCTTCCATTAAGGATGGGACAAGAGGAATGCGATTAAGTTTCAAGGACAGGGATTTGTATCTGGTACAAAAAAAGAACTTCCTGGCTATGAAGATTGCAAGGCAGTGGAATAAGTTACTAACAAGCTTTTGAAATATCTTTTTCAAAAGACTTTTTAAAAATACAGTAGACGACCATCACCATAAAATGCTCACTCAGTGTCCTTTCTTACCCTACAAAACGAGGAAGTGAGTATTTTAACTATAAATACAAGCTCCATTAAAAAAAAAACAAGGGATGGCTCCATGGTGTAGTGGTTAAGTTCCACACACTGTGCTTTGGAGGCCCGGGTTCACGGGTTCAGATCCTGGGTGCAGATCTACTCCACTCATCAGCCATGCTGTGGGGGTGACCCACATACAAAGTGGAGGAAGACTGGCACAGATGTTAGCTCAGGGCTAATCTTCCTCAGAAAAAAAAAAAAAAAAAACCATACAAAGTTATTGACAGTTGAAGCATAGCAAGGCCCTTCACTGTTGCTGCATTTTCAAAATTCATCAGAAAGTTATCAGTTACACAAATGTACTTATTTAGTCAGAGATGATATAAAAAAGGCAATCAGTTGCTCCAGATAGGAGATATAAAAATAATCAAAATATGGATAAACTAAGCAGCAATATCTATTTAAGAAACATAAAATTGATGCTATGGAAGGAGGGAAGGAGCGGTGGGAAAGGGTAGGACAGGAAAACAAAAATCAGCCACAGAGGAATAAACACACACATATGCTCTCTACCCAATGGTAGCATTAGAAGACCCATGTGATGACTAACAATCTTTCCTGACACTAATTTTTGAGAACTAGAACTGTACTACAAGCCACACCTCGTTTCCCTTAGAGAAGTCTTAGGGATCTAAGTCTTTTCAATACTATGCCAAAGAACAAGGTCATAACATATGTATTTTAAATTATTTGAGCTACTATTTTCCCCCATATCATCAAAAGGAAGGAAGGAGGGAGGCAAGGAAAATAGTCACAGATGGTCTAACATATAATGAATTCCGATGGCCAAGTCTCTTACCATAGGATGAGCAAAGAGGAAGAGGTGCAAGAGACAATGTTGTTCACCATCTCCTTTTACAGATGAGGCCCAGAAAACCAAGGCCAAACCACAGTTAGCGGTAGAACCAGGACTAAATCACAAACTTAGCATCATTTGTCGACACGAGCTGACGAACAGCTTGTGTACCTAAAGTTTAAGTTGGCTGTTCAAAAAGAACAAAATGTCCTATGGCATAAATATTATAAATGTTGATTGATTAAACTACCAGACCACATGCACCCACACACATGCATGTCTGCACGCGCGCACACACACACACTTTATTTTATAATACAACTGATACATGGTACTAGAAGTTCTAATTTCTGGGAAGAGAAAAAACAGAAGCTACTAACATTTACTGAGCACGTACTAGGTCCCAGTCACTTAAGCTTCCTTATCTCATATAATCCTCATGACCCTGGAAAGCACATCTTCAATCATTTTACAAATGAAGAAATTAGGCTAAGGAAGTAACATTTCCAAAAGCCACACAGATTACAAAGAATAAAGGAAGGCATGCCTGATGCTAAATCCCCTGTCTTTTCTGTTACATCACATCTTCTCTCCAGCGAAAACCACAGAGCACACAGAAGGAGCATTCAGAGGAAGAAATCAATTCCTCTGCATTTCCCCTGAAAGTTTTTGAAAGAGCGTCGGTATTCTTTGGCATCTTCCCCACACTTGATGAAACCTTCTTCTATATCCTAGGCTCGCTCACAGTGCCCTCAGCTAGGGTGACCATATGGACCTGTTTGCCCCAGACAGTCCCGATTTACTCCTGTTGACTCTGCAAAATTATCAACAGCATCCCTTTTCACTCGCAAAAGTCTCCCCGCCTAGAGGATAAATCACATGGTCACCCCTCCTAAGCCCCTCACTGCACTCCCCCCATCCAGGCCTGTCTGACTCTAAAGAAGCTCAGTTACTTCTCTCTCTCCCTTTCAGGGTCAACGTCCTGTCCATCAGAGTAGCTGTTCCCAAGTCAGTAAGAATGGGAAAAGCAACATGGTTAGACGAATTCATTCTCTTCCAAACAGCAGACCATTTTAATATGTGGACACTCCAGTTCTAATTGTTGGAATTTCAGGCAGTGGGACAACTTTACGTGAAGATAACATGAGGAATAACTGTTTTAGGCAGAGGAGGCCCATCAAGCAAGCCAGCCCTGCTTGGAGCTTGATCCTAAATCAGGCTCCCAAGCTGTCCTTGCTTTTCTGCTCTGCCTCACTTCTAAATGCCCAGATTATCCAACAGTCCATCTGAAGCTTCCCATGGCAGGCACAGTGTGTGCTTCTAAGGGGGATTAAACGCAGAATGTCCACAGGCAACTGTGAGACACACATTCATTTCATCGCAACAAGACAATATCCAGACACCAATCTCAGTTTTGTCTAAATGTTCAATATCAAAGTATTTTAAAAATGCCAGAGCTGCAAAGGAACTCAGATACCAAACAAGCCATCATTTTATAAAAGAGGAAACTACGGCCTATGGGAGAGAAATCACTGGTTTAAAGTCACAAAGCCAGGACGAGAAACCAGGTCTCCATCATTCTTGCCACCAAATAGGTATCCTCAACTTCCACATATCACACATTTTCATACCTCATATGTTGAGACACAATACTTTTCTGGTGCCAGAGTTGGACTTTGTTGGAATAGTTAATACATAAACATTTCAAGTTGTCACATGATGGTGCCTTTCAACCAACACTTCAGTTTCAGCAACCTCACTACCTTTGTATAACAGAATTACGGCTTTCAGCATCTTCTAATACTCTGGACTTGTTTTATAAAAATGAACAGAAAATAGAAAAATGAAAGTGCTACAGGGCCAGTCTTCCTCAGCAAAAAAGAGGAGGATTGGTGGCAGATGTTAGCTCAGGGCTAATCTTCCTCAAAAAGAAAAAAAGAAAATGCTAATACTAGTACATACTATTATGTATTATGAAATACATAATATTGAATGAAAATAATTAGGCCTACCAAAAATACTTACCCTTGCATACTTAAGCTCTTCATTTGTGCTCAACTGTGGGGAAAAAAGTAAGAACATGAAATGCTGGGAGTAATTCATCAAAGAGTATGCTTAAAAGACAAGTTTAACAATGGGAAAAACTGAGAGATTTGCTAACTAAATGTTACTCTGAATACACTGGGCAAATGAAAATTTAATTTTGTATTTTGTATTAATATTGTATGTAACATATAATGTTTAATCTATGTGTTTAGTGTGTTAAAGAACTCAAACTTTTTAAAACTAAGCAGTTATATAATTAGGAGCATATGAATATTTTTAGCTCTTTAGGAATTGAATCTCCTTATAACAAATCAAATGCTCAACTTTTAAACATTAGTGCTCAAACACACTTTCAGGAACCTTATACAGATGTCACGGCCACCGGTATCCCACACTGATATTCTTACTCTATTGCCACTGTATTATTTGGGGGTGGGGGGGCACCTCGCATAAATTAAAAGTTGATATGGAGCACCCCATAGTAAACTTTAGTTCCATTTCTGTATAATTCTTCATTGCTTAGGACCACTCACTACGTTTTAAAATAATGGAAATTCACTCCTGTTCATTCATAGCTGACTTATAGACAGTGAACACGCAGTGTTTCAAAATGATTTTGTTCTTGCAAAAAAATACTTTAAGGAATTTTTTATTTCCTTAGGCTAACAGAAAAATGTTCAAACTTGACAGTCCTTGCCTTTCCGCATTATCTTTAACGTAACTTAAAAATTCATTTGCACACCCTCCTACTACTCTCCTTCCATGTTTCACAACTCAAATAATCTACTACTTAACTGCTACTGTCAACCATATGAAATGGCACCTCCATTCCCTTCCCTTCCCAGCCACCCCGAAAGAGCCCACTCGCACATCTATCTTTAAAATGGCTGTGTTTACAGCTACCCATATGTCACCATTCATGAAGCAACTGCCTCCATCCTCTTGACGAGGCATTGGCAGGCACACAGACTGGAAAAGATTGCAGGGCCACAAAAGGGTGGTTGGGGCTCAGAATTTTTCTTAAGGTTACTACTTTCAGAAGTCTCTGAAATTTAAAAAAAAAAAAAAAAGTGGGGAGATATATGCACTCTTTATTATAAAAGCTTTGGGAGGGTGAAGGGTCTCCATTCCACAGTGAGGGAGCCTTGCTAGCAAAGCTGTTTCCAAGTGTAATATTTCTATCACAAGTGTACCTCACTATATTATGTTGCTATATAAATGAGCCTTGCCTCGTGTGATATCTGAGTTCCTCACTATACCATGTTGCTATGCGTAATATTTCTATCACAAATATGCCTCATTATACTATGTATACTATGTTGCTCTACTATTGTGGATCCTCATGAAGAATCCTTTTAGAAAGAAAATTACAAAGTCATCTGCCTTTTGACCTTAAAACGAAAAAGGCTTTTCACGTATTGTCTCAGGTTTGCTTAAACCATGTTAAAGCAATGGACTGGAGAGGGGATGGATTAATAAAGAGAGTGAGTGTCTGACTGGAAGGGGGAATGGCAGGCACTCTTCCTGGCAGAGGTGGAAAGCGAAGGAATGGAGGCATGCAAAGAGGAGCCAGGGGCTCTCGGAATGGCGAGGAAGACACCACAAGCAACAGAAAGACAGTCAGAGGTAGGAAATGACAGCTTGCCCCTACCTGCATGCCTTTGTGTACCTGTTTTTATTCTTCCTCTTCACAAGCCCAGAGACTAATTATGGGGCAAAAAGAGAAATTTGAGAAAGCAACCTGGAAAAGCAATTCAAGGGAGGAAATGGAACAGCCCAGGAGTCCTGCTCTCCTTCTCTCCCTTTCGGTTCTACCATTTCTGCCATCTTCCCCTTCTTAGCCACTTGGAAAACGCAGACCATGGTTGGAGGACAGGGTAATGCAAGGTGGCCTGAAGGCAGGAAAGTGAACTACAGAGGTTCCACGCCAGCAGATGCTGGAGCCAGGGGTCATCAGTTGAAGCCAGAGAACCAGGGGGCAGAGGTGGGACTTCTTAGAGAGCAGCAAGAGCAGCAGGGACCTACAACTACAGCAAAACTAGATTTTCCCTCTTTTTCCTCCCTTTCTCTGCCCAGCCAGCAACAATAGAATAATCTCCCCTTACCTTCATCTCTTTCAGTCACCCAGAGGAGAAATAAGAAAGACCTGCGGGAATGGTGACAAAAATGGGGGAAATGGGGAATGAAACCCCCAGGATAGCCAAAGAGACTGAACATTCATCAGGCTGTTTCTCACATGGAAGGGACCAAAATCACTGAGCTCACGTGCCCATTTTGTGTAGCTCTACATGCCTTTTGTGATCTTTTAGATTTCTTTTCAATTACTTTGGTTCTTGTCACCCCCAATAGAAATGATATTATATTCCTTGGTGAGGAAGACTGATAATTTTTATAATCATAATACTAAAACAATAATACATTCATTCACATTGACTTTATAATTTTCAAAATGTCTGCACATCATTTTCTCCATCCACAAGACTACCTATTAATAGGCAGAGAAAGTGTTAACCTTATTTTACAGATTGTGAGGAAACAGCACAAAGAAACGGGTTAATACATACAAATTGTCCAGAGAATGAATGTACAGCTAAGGATCCCTACAGGGTGTTTAGAATTCACATCACTCATTCATTCATTCATTCATTCATTCTGTTACGGGGTTGAACTGTTTCCCCCAGAAGCCACGTTCAAGTCTTAACTCCCAGTACCTGGGAATGTGACCTTATTTGGAAACAGGGTCTGGCAGACGTAATCACGTTAAGATGAGGTCATGTTAGTTTAGGGTGAGCCCTAATCCACAACTGGTGTCTTCATAAGAGGGAAATTTGGACACAGACACAGGGCAGGAGGCCACGTAAAGATGAAGGCAGAGTTTGGAGCAATGCATCTACAAGCTAAGGAACACCGAGGATTCTGGGAACCATCAGAAACTAGGAAGAGGCAGGAAGGATTCGCTCCAGAAGGTTTCAGAGAGCATAGCTCTGCCAACACTTTGGTTTCAGACTTCTGGCCCCCAGAATGGTGAGATAATAAACGTCTGCTGTTCTAAGCCACCCACTTTGTGGTACTTTGTTAGAGCAGCTCTAGGAAACCAATACACATTCATTCAACAAACCTCTTTTGAGTGAGTACTATGTGCCAGACACCACAAAGTGTTCTGAAGAGCCAAAGATGAACCGGACTCAGCATTCCTTGTCCCCCCACTCCCTGCATGGACTTTAGAGACCTAAGATTCTACGTTTCTGTGCTGAAGAAATGAAGCCCAGAGAAGCCAAACAGCTGGTTGATGGCAGTAGGGGAACCAGAAGCCACAACTCCTGACCTCGAAACCACACTCCTCCCATACTCCAAGCTAAAGAAGTTCTGGTTCCCTGGTACACTGTCACTGTAAAGGAGCTTCATAACGTCCCTTTTTAAATCAAAAACAAAAAACCATGCAGCAATGACAGTAAGGAGAAAAGACGTCCACTAGTTACAACTAAGGAAAGCTTTCTGCTGCAACAGGCATGGGGACCCAGGCAGAGTGTTGTCACTTAAGCAGTGTGTGGTTAAGGCAAGGAAGCACCTGGGATCAGAAAGGCCCAGCAGGGAATCCTACCTCCATCACTTACTAGCTAGGGGACCTTAGACAAGTCATTCAGCCTCTTTCAGCCATACTTTCTACATCCATAAAATGAGCATGTTAATACATACGCCTTCTGGTAGATCAGGGAGAGTCAGTTTGGAAAGTTACGAAAGATAGATGGTTAAACAGAAAACCTCAAATTGCAGAACAGCACGTATAATGTGATCCTATTCTTGTTAATTTTTTTTCTAGGAAAAACACAAAAAAAACTCGTCACGGTGGTCACCCCTGGAGATTAGGAATAGAGAGATTAGAAGCCTTGATTTTCTCCTTTTCTACCATTAAATTTCTTACTATGGGCATGTATTATCGTTAATTTTTAAAATAGAAAAATACTATATAATCATTTAAAAAGAAAAAAGCATGATAATTCAATGATTGCATACTTTCAATACGTGCACTTTTCTATATGCCTATTATACCTCAATAAAGAGGCTTCTTTTAATGAAGCAAATATATGTGCTCAGACGTGAAAAGATTTCCCAGCTATATTAAATGAACTATCATGTCATCAAATGCAGAGTACACATGCAGAGTACAAAATTCCATTTATGTAAAAAAACAAAACAAAAACTATCTGCACACACATATAAATATATATGAACAGTTCTGGAAGAATATACACACTTAACACATTGTTCTATAATGCTGAATCTTTTTTTATAACCAGAATATTTTTAGGAACTCATTTTGAAATTTACGTTCTTTTTAATTTTTTAAATAATAATAGTACTTCACCCCAGAGGGTGGTTGTGAGATTTACATGATAATGGTTACACAATACTTTAAGTGATATAAAAAAGAATCATTAAGCCTTTCTTTTTGTAAATTTCCAATCAGTGTGCACCACACACTCCCTCCCCCATGCCTGCCTTCCACCCCAGTCCTAAGCCCAGGCTTGAGCCTCACCGTTGGGCTAACTCACGAATAAAGACAAGACCAGAGACGAGGTGGACATGAGGACTGAAGCAGGGGTCAAGAATGAAGTGATAAATAAAATAAGAGGTCAAGAATGTCTGCAATACACATTATTTGGCAAAACAAACAAACAAAAACACCTTTTCCTTTTTAAACTCAGCCATTTGGAAACATCAAAATGTCTCCCTCATCCAAACCACCACATGAAATGTCTTGCTTAGGTCCAGTATGGATGAATGCGGACCCCTCGTCCCGACCTGTGCAGAAATGTTTGCACTGAACCTTCCACACCAGGGGAGTGTGTCCTGCTGTGTCCCAGACCACTCTAATCCACTTCCTCCACCCTTTCACCAGACACTTAATCCAGGGGCCACTCAACACGAAACTCACTGTACAGACTTATTCCATATCTTATCCCACAGTTTGGTGCTTCACTAAATGCTGCCTTATTTGTTGTTTCTTGTGTGTTCTACCTCCCCAAAATGTAAACTCTTTTTCAACAGAAACATGCATTAATGCCATCTTTGTCCTAGTACAGATCATAGCACAGAACTGAGCCTGAAAGCAGTTCCCACAGGTACTTGTTCACTGACCAGAGGTCAAAGATGGCCCATGGGGCAATTCATAGCTAGCACTAGCTTTCCACACCCTACCTGGAGCTACACTGTTGTCCTGCCTTTCTGCCCCACCCTTCCTTCAATTCTCTACTGCCTTTCCTTTAGATAATATCTCAGACACCACTTGGTCCAATACAGCACCTTCTCCAGATTCCACTTACAGAGGAACTTGTGAGAGATAAGAAAGTAGTAGTTCTCTCCTCCTGGTGTTTCCTTCCTTCTCCTCCAAAACTTTCTGTGTATCTGATATATTGTCCCATAAATCTCGTGTCTATTTTATGAAACTATGCCAGGCAAATTTGGGCAGTGGAGGGAATAGGGAGTAAGTGAACACCTCTCAAGTTTCAGGAGTAAAGAGCACAGAGGGGCTGGACCACTGCAGGTCTATGGGGAAACCCCAGGACTGAAGGGACTGGCTGTGGACCGAGAGGCCACTCAAGGGGCTTCCCTTTAGGAGTATATCCACAGTCTATTAATTTGCTAGGGCTGCCGTAACAAAGTACCACAGACTGGCTGGTTTTAATAACAGAAATGTACTTCCTCACAGTTCTGGAGGCTAGAAGCCTAAGATCAAGATGTCAACAGGGTTGGTTTCTTCTGAAGGCCTCTCCATGTTTTGCAGCTGGCTGTCTTCTCCATGTGTCTCCATATGGTCTTCCCTCTGTGTCTCTCTGCATCCTAATCTCCTCTTCTTATCAGGACACCAGCCAGACTGCAGATTAGGGGCCACACCAATGACCTCATTTTACCTTAACCACCTCTTCAAAGGTGCTGTCCCCAAATACAGTCACATTTTGAGGTACTGGGGGACAGGACTTCAACTTACGAATTTTGGGGAACACAATTCAGCCCATAATAGTCAGCAATAGAGAGAGGAAGAGAAAGGAGGTCTGAGTGTGGCTCTAGAGAAACGAAAGCCTACTCAGCATTTGCAGGAGAAAGGAAATTTCACTTGTGCTTCCCTATATCTAGAATTTCCTTCCTTTCCTCTCTGTCCCTCAATCCTTTGACACCAAACACCAATCCCATCTCTGTTCTGAAGCTCTGATCATCTCAGTCCCAACAATCCGCCTGTCAATCCCAAAGGCAGAGCACGCACCAGCTATAGCGCTCAACTGGCCCTTAACCCCATGTGGCCTTGCGGTGGCTCTCGAAGTCTGCACATCCTTGCACGGGAGGCCTCGTCTTAGGTCATTATCCCTGTCCTTTGCTTACTTCACACTCCCCTTCCCTCGGTTCTTCCCAGGAGCCATCCCCGGTCCACTGTAGGTCAGGGCCTTGGGAATATTCATCCCCTCTACCCCTCCCCTGCTCAGCCCCCTCTCAACTAATTACAGTAATATCATTTCAACTAAGATCTTAGCTCAAATGCCTCTTCCTCAAGGATGCTTTTGAAGACTGCACCCCGCCCACACACACACTTCCCTTCACACTAAACACAGGTCCCTCTCCCCACCCCCAGCTCTGTCATAACACTTATCACATTTAATGACACCCCTGCATTGTCATTATGTTATTAATGTGTGTCTCTCCCATGAGATTGACACATACTCCTAAATCCATAAGCAGAATCTGTACCAGGGTTGCCCATCACTATCTATCCAGCAGCTAAGGCAGTGCCTGACTCTAGTAAGTGCTCAATAAATATTTGCGAGATAAAGGAAAGAATAAATGAAGCGTAAATTAGTGTATATCAGTGTTCATGTAATCCATTTTTGCTGAATACACTCACTTTCAGGTAGAGGCAGTGTGGAATCACTAAGTAATAATGCCCCAGATAGCTACAGACACAGATGTTAATAGATCTTGAACCAATGGAACTACATAGAAAAAGAAATTTAACTATTCTATTAGGTCACAATCCTACGGGAATTACTTAAACATGTTTTCCATATCTAACTTTGTACATATATATATAAAATCAATCTCCTGCAGGTATTTTTCAGTCCACTGAAACAGCCATCCGCAGTCACCATTTCCCTGTGGCTTATTCCACTGCTTGACTTTTCGCCTAAAACCAACAGGAATTCTTTACTCGGAGTAAAGAACAGACGGATTCCCCTGGTGACTCCAACCCAACACTTTTTCATTTTCTCCTTCATATTAGGCAGGAAACACTAAAATTCTGGGAACAAGATGTGTGTCACACGTTGGAAACGTTCATATCTGCTGATAACACTCCATCTACCTCAACGAAACACATGAGGAAGCCACATGGTCACAATCTAATGGAAGGTAGAACATAGCTAATAAACTGAAGCAACATTCCACATGTTATCACTTTCAGCTTTGCGCAACATGTGGAAACTGGCTCATGCACCACTTGGACGTGTCAGAACATCTAAGGGAGGAGGATGCATGTCTGGGATTTATTATGGTCATTCACCTCAGGGAAGAGTCCGAAGGAGTGCATTACAGCCTCCACATGTCCGTACGCTACAGATTTCTTACTTTTAGGGGGATTTTCTGAGATGTATTTATCTTTCAGGTGCTTGGACTATTTGTGCAGCCCTGTCTGTTTCGAATATTTGAAAGCATAAAGGTGCTAGTAAGTGCTAACGAGAAATCATCTATAGGGAAAAAAACTATTCTTTTTATAGTATTACAGCATTTGCATCAACTCAGATTACCGAAAAATTTTGTTTATCGTTTTATCCTCTACTCTCCATGCCCCTCCCCAAAGTAACAGACATTATCTCCTGTTTTATCAATCTCAACTATTTTATCCAAGTTATGAGGCTCAAGTTCAGTTGGGCTTCTTGGCAAGTAATTTTTCTCATGCTAAAAAAGAAACATGAAGTAAATTAGGAAAATCATATAAGCCAGAAAAATACTACTAACATCAGAAAAATCTGAAGATAACTTACCTAAGAAAAGGGAAGCTCTATTTTGGGAGCTTAGCAGTTCAAATAAATGAACATTACAGCACTACATAGTCAATTTCTATGTTAGAAAGAGAACTTAAATTCAAAGGATGTTTCATTGAATGCTTGAGCCCTCTTCTTGCACTCCTTTTTATCAGTAATCAAACATTCAATGCATTCCTCCCAACAGGTAAGTCAATGTGTCAACAACTAAGCTACTTCTACTCGCAGCCAGAAGCTTTGCCTTCTCTAGTCTAATTGACAAGGAAACAAAATCTCTCCAAAGAAGAAAACCTACTCCCTAATTAAGCTAAGCAGACCTATTCAGGTGTCTCAGAAATGATCAACTTGATCACTGGTTCTGAGTTTAAAATATTCATGAGTCCATATACATTAATCAAGGCACCAGTAAACTCCATAAAAACAATGAAATCTAAGAGCAGTGCTATAAGCAGACCAATTTCACCACATGTGGGCTTCAAATATGGAAAGAAAATCTCCCCACCCAAATTCTCGCTATCTTGAAAAAAAAATTAAATATGAATCAAAAGAAATCTGACAGCTCAGTGATGTAAAAGGTTTTCTAGTGATTAACATGCTTTATATACCTTATATCTAGTGATGTAAATACTTTATATTATTTGTAAAAGAGGGGCTTGAGAAGGAAGTAGGGGAATGGTTATAAGGCAGTTACTCTGTTACAGCTGACATTCACATCTGTGAATTTACACCATCTAATGCCATTCCAAGGGGCTGTTCCTACATTAAATGAAAGAAGTCAGTTTTGAGTGTTTACTACGAATATTTGAAAAATATATTTTCATTCAGATTAACTGTTCTTTAAAAACAGATTCTATCAGTTTGGCCAATTACCAAAATTGATTCTTTCAACAAAAATTGAATTGTTTTAATTATCTCATGTCCCTAACTACTTTTTATTTTTACAAAAATTAGAACAGCATGCCTTATTGGGGTACCATCACCCACAACGTAATTTAGGTGTATTCAGAATACCTCACCATCTAGAAATTGAAGTTATAGTAACTGTCCAAATACTTAGCTTCCCTTAAAATTATTTCAGCCCAAACCCAAAACCCAAGAAAAATCATTTTGGTGGAAACAGTTCATTTCACTCCCTGTTAAACCCAACATAAAGCTAGATTCTCTGCCGTTTTAACATAGTACTAAATGACATTTCGTTGCTACAGCAACGAAGCTCTGCTACCTGTGGCCATGATTTGTGAAGAATTCCTCCAACCAGTGAATTCTGTGCTGTGCATTCATAAAACCAACAGAATGGCTCTAAGCAACGTAAAAATTAAGGCTTGATTTCCTGCTTATGATTTACCCACACACAGATCTAGGGTATGTATACATGTATGTAGACATTCATATATAATTATGACTCTCCCAACTCCACCAAAAGGGTAAAACCGTACCAAGTTTCCATTTTAAAATAGGCATAAAAAATCCACTGTTTTAGATTTCATTGACTAATTTCCACCTGTTTCCCAAAATTTATCTTAAAAGGTAACAGAGACTATCTGGAGAGAATTTTAAAAACAAGAAAACGTATAATTTATATGCAATCTCATTCCAAAAGGAAAAAAATTTCCTGAGGCACAATTTCCTATATGTTCCAGTAAGGGTGGCTTCTTTAGCAATGAGCTGATTTAGAAAACATCGAGCCAAAGAATAAAGGAAAAAAACGGGGTCCTCACCACCTTTATTCCCCACACTGCTTCTGCAGGCTACTCACCCTCACTGGGGGGCTCCAGGCTTGCACCCGTGGCTGCTGTCCACCCTGGGAGCTCTGCAGATCTTTTGAGCTACAATTAGCCACCGTGCTGCTCTGAGCCCTTAATGCATTTGTGCAGTTCGTCCCACTGCCCCCACCAGGGCCAGGTTTCCAAGGCCTCTGCTTGATGCCATCCAGGAGTCTGACTAGCAAGATGTTACTTGGAAGCTCCTCAACACCCGAGCCAACGAGAGTCCTGCACTCAGGACATCTGAGTTCATTTCGGGAACCTACAATCCCCAGCAAACATCGTTTGCAAAAGGTATGCTGGCAAGGCAAGACCTTTGCAGAAGCATCAAGCCGCTCTAGACACACAGGACACTCCAGAAGATCCAACAAGGCAGATTCATCCATCTTTCTCTAGTTTACTGCAGAAAAAGCTTCAGAAATGTTCATAGTTGTGTGCATCCCTTAAAGTGATTCATGTAACATCCATTTCAGACTTTGCTCTGGAGTCACGGGAGGAGAGGGAGAAAAGACAGAAAATTTGTATTGTTATCTGGAGAAAAGGTTCACGGAGGAGCCAAGAACCAAAAAGTACACAAAAGGGCTTCCTCTGAATAGTGTAGCTTTGCTTTGGAATGTGGTTCCTGGACTCACCTATCAACAATTAAGGATAAAACAGGCTTTTTAAACAATTCAAAATTAACCTCTAAAGATATCTAGGAGTTCACTATGCAGAAACGGCTATCAAGTACTACACAGGATTCCTGCAATAAATAAGTGTTATGAAATGCAATAAAGAACATAATTTCTTCAGCTCTCAAAGTGATATTAGCTGCCTTAATAAAATCCTCAACTCATATGAGAAGCTGAACAGAGGCAATTCAAAGTTTCCTCTACCTGAAATTATTTTTAAATACAACAAAGTTGTCAATATTTAAGCCGCTTCAGTGTTTAAGAAACCACGCTTGACGTGATTACTGTGGTAAATGATCCCAGTATTCAATATTTAATATTAAATCTCAGTATTTAATACACGCTTCTTCCTTGGTCTTAAAAACAGAACTGTTTAATCTTGCCCAACCAAAATGAGCTGAAGGTTGACAATTCTAAAGGACACAGCTAAAGATTGGCTTGAAAGCAGCTAAAATATAAAAGCACCCTTCAGAGCAGCGGTTGACAAACTCTGAAACGGATTTCTGAACGGCCTGTCCTAATCCCATTCAGAAAATCTGGCAAAATTATCACCCAAAGAATTTGACAATGGAATGCTGGCCTGAAAACTGTGAGCGCAATGTGAAAACGGGGCCATTCAAGAAAAAGCACTTAAACCAGTGACTGCGCCGCTTACCGCCCCCCCCCCCACCCCCCCCCCCCCCCCGCCCAGCCAATCAATGTAAACGTGAACGCCTAGGAGAAAGGGGGGGATGAAGATGTTGATGGGAGCATTAACAGCTGCTCTTGACAGGGCCCGGCGGCTGGGGGGGGGGGGGCCGGGCGGCGCCCCTCTCCCACGCCGCACGGCACAGGTACTCCGAGCCGCAGGACGCACCCCGCAGCCAGGTGTCGGCGGCACCGGGCAGGGGACGGTCCTGGGCTGGGGCTGCGGCCCGGCGCGGCCGGAACGGGGCTCTCCTTCAACAGCCTCATCTCCGCCTCCCTTTGGGTCAGCCCGGGCACAAACATCCCCCCGCACGACGGCTGGAAGTTTTCAAGGACTTAAAGATGAATTCGCAGCCTTAAGTTGCGAAAGTCAGACCCCTAAAGTGCCACCGGGAAAGAACCCGAACCCCGCAGAGAGGAGCTGGGTGTCCCCAGGGAGACCGAGCCAGCGGAGGGCAGGGGGCGCAGGGCTGCGCCCGGGAGAGCCGGCCCGGAGCCCGGGCAGCTTCCCGCCGGGAGAAGGCAGCGAGGCCGCGGCTCCGGGCCCACGGGGACCCCGGGGACTGGGGGGAACCAAGAGAGTGACCCGCGCGGAGGGGGCGCCCCGGCCACCGCCTCCTCGGGGCCCCGCGCCCTACCTCGCGCCGCGGCTCCTCCTCTTTGTTCGTGGCCCCGCAGCGGCAGTGGCGGCCGAGGAGATGCGGCCCCACCGCGTCCGGCGCGCTCGTCGCTCGCAGTGGCTCTGACGCCGCCGCCGCGGCACCGGGAGACTCCTCTCGGCTGCCCCCTCCTGCGCGCACTCACGCAGCCGCCGCCGCCACCTCCCACTTTCCCAGCCCCGGAGGGCGGAGGACGAGGAGGAGGACGAGGAGGAGGAGGTGGTGGAGGAGGAGGAGGTGGTGGAGGAGGAGGAGGAGCAGGAGGAGCAGGAGAAGGCAGAGGCGCAGCCGGCGCCCGGGGCGCGAGGGGCGGCCCGCAGCACAGCGCCTCCCCCGGGGCGGGCGCGCCTCCTCCGGGAAGCGCGGGCCGGCCGCGCCCTCCTCCCGGCGCCAAGGTACCTGCGCGCCGGGCCCCGCCGGTGCCCGGGCGGCGGCCTGAGGGGGCGCGCGAGAGCCCAGAGTCCGGGCAGCGGGGTCCCCTGGGGGGGCGGCGAGAAGGGAGGTTTGGGGACAGACGCCTCCGCCTGAGCAAAACACGCCCGAAAAATGGAGCAATCGCAGAGGGGGAGCGTGGGGAGGGGCGGCGGAGGGAAGCAGGCCGGCGCCACAGGGCAGGGGCCGGCCACGTCGTCCTCCTGCCCGGCGGTGCCAGGCGGCCGCGAGCGACGATCGGGGCGGGCCCGGCGCGGCGCGGGAGGGGCTGGGTCCCGGGAACGGACGGGAGCAGCCCGGGCGGGACGGGAGCCCAATTTGCGTTGCCTCGGTTCGCCCTGCCCTAGAGAGACGCTTGGGAGAGGACTAGCCAGAGGTCATTAACCCTTACGTCCCGGAGAGGCATGCGGAATGCGTGCGGGGACAGTGCCAGCGCAGCTGTCCACCCGCCAGCTCCCGGGCCGCCGCCGCCCAGCCTGGCCCCCCAGCGGCCCGCATCCGGGCATCACGCCGCCTCCCCCGGGACCCAGACCCGAGCAAACTGGAGGACTGCTGCCGCAGAAACTCAAAACGGGAAGGGAGAGAGCCTAGGAAATCAGCAGTGTGGGTTTAAAACCCAGCCTTGGGAGGCCTTGCTATACCTGCCCTAAAAAGGGAAAATTCAAAGTCTGACCTCAGGTGAGCTGGCACCGCGAAGCCAGCTAAGAGGCGCCTCTTTTATCTGAGCCGGGGAGGCAGCCGGAACCGTCACTGTAATCTTTGTTTTGGTTGCCCCAGGCACACACCTGTAAACTCTGAGCTGTAGTTTTGAAAACATGTCCACAGGTTTTGAGGTTGGTTGTTCAGACTCAATTCAGAGGGAAAACAGAATTTTGTCATTATCTCCAAGTTGTCATTATTTTATTTGCATTTACCATCAATTTACAAAAAGTAATCCCAAACACCCTCCCTCGAAGGTGTGCAGAAACTAGGTGAAAATAAGGAGAAAGGGTTGCTGATATTATGCGGGAATCCCTTCCTGGCCACCAACCAGGCTGACATTTTGAAGGAGTCAGATTATTTTCTAGTCTCCAGCCATTGCCAAGGCTAAACCATTCAAGACAAGTGAGAATCACCTAAGGAAGAAAAAATTATAACCGCTAACAACTATTGATCATTCTCTGTATGCCAGTCACTGTGCTAGACATTTTACTTGCATTAATTCTATCTTCATTGCACCCCTGTCCATCATCCCCCCTTAGCTTTGTTCTAAGTAGATTAATATGCTGAGAATCATACTGTGTGAATACCAGAAATAATCGCCTACTTCCCCCTCCTTTAGAAGTGAGCAAATACACATGCATTTGAGCTGAGAAAGCAAGGGAGGGAATGAACAGAATGGAGAATTTTTAATCCGATAGTCTACAAACAAGGCACTCTGAAAGTGACTACTTAGCCCATATATTTCTGCATCTGGAGCTGTGCAGATGAAGGAGAGTCTGACTGGAAGGTTACAGTCAGTAAACAGATAAACATTATCATGTGCAGTTTACACTTATTAAAACTGAAGCTCACATAGGTTCGTGTCATCCCCACATCACACAATAAGTAATGTTGAACCAAGACTCAGCCTCAGGTCTCTGGATGCCAAGTCCCCTCTCTTTTGCACATCAACTCAGGCAAAACCGAGCACACTGTCTCTTGCCACCCAAGGGAAAGATGACACTGTTGATCATGTTACTCTGGAGAGCAAGGGACAATTTTTTGTTTTGTTTTGGGTTTTTGTTTGTCTTTACAGAGAACAGTATACAAGGTCAGGGTGGAATGGTGCAGCTCTTGAAACCAGACAAGAAAATCAGTCACACCCATGAAGACAGTGTCCCAGACTGTAGTGATCAAAGAAGCCCACACACATCCCCTGAATATTAGCTGGAACATGGTTGCAGTTCTTTGAATGTCCCTGGTGCCAGTTCACTATATTTTTTAGAACACAACTCTTTTATTAGCCTTAATTACTCTAGCTGTAAAATGAAGTTTTAGGAAAATTACGTTAACCTCTTGAGCCATTGTCATTGCAAATAATCCATAATCAATCTATAAATCAAAATTTGAGATGAGTTTATTATGAGCCTGGTCTGAGGACTATCGTCTGGGGGGCTTCCTTCCCCCAAGGAAAGAAGCACACCGCAGAACTGGAGTGTACAGAGTGGTTATATACTGTCTTGGAACAAAATGCATGCATCACGTATGACAGGAGTATCTCTTTTACTACTGTCATGAGATGCTTAGCTGGCACAGCAGGTCAGTGGTCACAAGGTGAGCACAGCAGGTCAGTGGTCACAAGGTGGGCACAGCAGGTCAGTGGTCAGCAGGAGAGTGGTCACAAGGTGAACACAGCAGGTCTGTAACTGATCCTTAGTTTCTAGGAAGAGATGCTTATCCTTAAGGAAATGCCGACATGGGGGAAAGCTACATCCCTATCTTTAAAGGGCATCATTCTTGTCTTTGGGACGTTGTAGACGTTTAAAGCAGATGTACAACGCATGTTCAACAGGCCACATCAGGCCCTTTTGGAAAAACAAGTTCCGGCTGAATTAGTTTTAAACCAAATAGCTTCCTCATATACTGCAGTATATCTTATTGCTTTTCATTTATTCATCACCATCTTCCTTCTGTCAAATGGTGAAAAAAGAATACCTTCCTTAGAGTGTTATTGGAGGATTCAGTGAGACAATGTGCTGGGTCTTTGTACTCTATACACCTCCATTAAAGGAGGGTATCATCATTGTCCTTATCTGCCAAGAATTACCCAGACAGTTATCCTGGGCAAAATTCTTTCTTCCCAGGGTATCATCATTGTCCTTATCTGCCAAGAATTACCCAGACAGTTATCCTGGGCAAAATTCTTTCTTCCCAGGGTCTTTTTTTTTTGAGGAAGATTAGCCCTGAGCTAACTGCTGCCAATCCTCCTTTTCACTGAGGAAGACTGGCCCTGACCTAAAATCCATGCCCATCTTCCTCTACTTTATATGTGGGATGCCTACCACAGCGTGGCATGCCAAGCGGTGCCATGTCTGCACCCGGGATCTGAACCGGCGAACCCTGGCCGCCAAAGTGGAACGTGCGCACTTAACCGCTGCGCCACCAGCCTGGCCCCTCCCAGGGTCTTAAAAAAATCTGAGAACACTAATAATTGCAAAATCCTGTCAAGAGAATAGTGTAGTGAAAAGGACAGTTAGGGAAAGAGAAGCATGTTCATCTTACCATTTCTGGGAACTGAACATGAAGAAAAGAAGGTAAGCGTGATATGCTTATGGCCCCTGTGACTTTGAGTAGATCCAGGAAAAATATAAACTCACTCTGTACATAATAATGATAGCTTGGATTTATCCAGTTCTTATCCTCTGAGACTTCAAAGTACTTTCATATATGTTATCTCATTTATCTTCCCAGCATCCCCCTGAAGCAGTAAAGACAGATATAATCATCTGCATGTTGCAGATGGGAAAAAATGAAGTGTAGAGAAGTTATTGCTCTTAGTGATGTTATGACACAAATTGGGCTTTTAAACTCCCAGTCCAGAGCACTCTTTTGTGAGCTTTAGTATCATGTTTACACATGCATATATATATACATTTGTCTGATCATCATTTTCCTTCAAACTTTACTCCTCCAGTTGCCACAATATTGGTAAATGGCAGCACTATTTACCCAGTTGTTTAAACTAGAAATCCAGGGACCATCTTTGATTTCTCCCTATTCCTCTCCATCCCTCTCCATCAACAAGTCTGCCAGCGATCCCCTGCTGGCAGGGACAGTATTTATAGGCTTGCGCCATATCTTAAGCTCATTTCTTACCTCAAGGAAATATATTTCAATTTCTACCACTTCCATTTGCCCCCATTGCACCTTTATTTAAGCTGCAATCACTCTTTGCCCCTGGCCCTCCTAGCCAGCTTCTCTGCTTCCACTGCTGTCCCCACAATCTTGCCCTGAATGTAGTGACATTCAGAGAAAGCTATAAAAAAAATGCGTAACAGATCATATTACTCCCTTTCTCAAAACTCATCAGTTTTTCCCACTATACTTGGAATAAAAATCAAATGCCCTCCAAATGTCACAAGCTGCTATGTCACCTGGACTCTGTACCATCATGCTCTACCAATCCACTCCGTTTATCTTCTTTTTTTTTTTTTTGAGGAAGATTAGCCCTGAGCTAACATCCACTGCCAATCTTCCTCTTTTTGTTGAGGAAGAGTGGCCCTGAGCTAACATCTATGCCCATCTTCCTCTACTTTATATGTGGGATGCCTGCCACAGCATGGCTTGATAAGCAGTGCATAGGACCACGCCCGGGATCTGAACCAGTGAACCCCAGGCCACCAAAGCAGGGTGCACAAACTTAACCACTATGCCACTGGGCCAGCTCCCGTTTATCTTCTTTATAGTACTTTTCACAGTCTAACTTTTTTAAAGATTTTATTTTTCCTTTTTCTCCCCAAAGCCCCCTGGTAAATAGTTGCATATTTTTAGTTGTGGGTCCTTCTAGTTGTGGCATGTGGGATGCCTCCCCCCCCCCATGGCCCGATGAGCAGTGCCAGCAAAACCCTGGACCTCTGAAGCAGACTGTGCCAACTTAACCACTTGGCCACGGGGCTGGCCCCTCACAATCTAATTTTTTGATTGATTATTTATTGCCTATCTTACCTTACCTGA